CAGAGCACAGATAGCCCATTGTGTAGCTTTGTGCTTAATTACAAACAAACATTAAGTACAAAAGAAGATGATGCATCAACACTAGCATTTCCTTTAACAATCTTAATCATATCCTTTCTAACTTTTCTTCTTTCAAGAGAAAACAATTTCAAATCTTAATATGTCCTCCTAACACAAATTTGTCCTCCCAAGTGTCATTCTAGTGGTCCTCGTCTGAGCCCTTTCCAACAACTCAATGAGTTGGATAAAATGAGTTCTAATAATCCTGGTAATAATTTACACAAATCTAGTTGCTAATTCAACAAACAATGTTGTAACATACCTAAACATATCAGACCAAACCAGTCACCCAGTAATTTAGATAGACTAATTAACACAACTTCAAGTAAGCTAGATGGTAGCTTAAGTAATCAATTCAACTAAGTCAGGTGGGCATTTAGATAAAATTTAATACAATTCACTCATATAAGGTGCTGGCTTATATAGACTTAGTCACCTTTTTAGGAACCTAGACAGTAAATTAAGCACAGTTAGTCACTACTTCATGCAAGTTAAATGATGATATACTTTAGTTATCAGTTCAAGCAAGTCACATAATGAATATGCCTATCTTAATCACCAATATAAACAACTGAAGTGTTTGTATGAAGTTAAGCACAAAGCTACACAATGGGCTATCTATGTTCTGCCCACCACGGGTATCGAAACCCGGATTCTAGCGTTGTAAGTCCGCAGACATACTGCTGTGCCACTGGTGGGCCAACTCAAGTGATGGGTGGGACAAATCTAGTCAGACGTTCTAAGAAATCAAGTCCTACTATTAATAAGAAAAAAAACACCAGTTCAAACTCTCTTTTTTATACATTAGATAATAAATATTTAGAAATTAGTACAAAGAATGTATTCTTTTAGTCTGAAATGGTATTCTTAGAAGCTTGGAGCTTGAGGAAACGTTATGAATTACATTCCATTAGAAGCTTGGAGCTTGGGGAAACGTTATAAATTACATTCCATTAGAAGCTTGGAGCTTGGGGAAACGTTATGAATTACATTCCATTAGAAGCTTGGAGCTTGCGGAAACGTTATGAATTACATTCCATTAGAAGCTTGGAGCTTGGGGAAACGTTATGAATTACATTCCATTAGAAGCTTGGAGCTTGGGGAAACGTTATGAATTACATTCCATTAGAAGCTTGGAGCTTGGGGAAACGTTATGAATTACATTCCATTAGAAGCTTGGAGCTTGGGGAAACGTTATGAATTACATTCCATTAGAAGCTTGGAGCTTGGGTAAACGTTATGAATTACATTCCATTGGAAGCTTGGAGCTTGGGGAAACGTTATGAATTACATTCCATTAGAAGCTTGGAGCTTGGGGAAACGTTATGAATTACATTCCATTAGAAGCTTGGAGCTTGCGGAAACGTTATGAATTACATTCCATTAGAAGCTTGGAGCTTGGGCAAACGTTATGAATTACATTCCAAAACTTGGGAGGAATTTACAAATTATTATGCTACTAAACAAATAAAATTAATTTGTAATGAAACTTGTATCAAATCATGCTTGGAGACGTTGTACATTTGCTGTTATGTTAAACTTATATTAAAGTTTTCTTCATTACCCATTCAAGCCGTCTCCAAGCAATATTAGTCTCAAAGTGGGTTCCTCGTCATTGAATTTGTATCCAATCAGAACTACTGAAAAAAGTGGCGATATAGAGAGACAGATTTTTACTTTTATTTTATATTTTTCTACAGATTAATAAAATCGATCTCATAGTTTTTAGCAATTTCACGAGCAAACGCTTCAGTATAAGTTACTGTTTTCTGTTCTTTTTTTTCTTTCGAGAAAAAAGGTACATTTCTAAAAGGAATTGGTTAAAGGCGCTCAAGAATATATTGTCATTGTTACGTGCAAGCGAGTCCCTAGTGGCTCAGCAGTAAGTTTATAGCTTACACCACTAAAAACCTGGTTTCGATACTTGTGGTTGGCAAGCCTAGTTAGCCCATTGTGTAGCCGTGTGCTTAATATCAAACAAAACAAATACTTCCACGAGCTCATAAGGTTAAGAATTAAAAGAAAAAGAACAAATTTGTTTATTCTTTGATTGGTAAATACTTTCAAATTAAAAATATATTGATTGATTTGTTCTTATTCTTTGATTGATAAGTACTTTCAAATTAAAAAAAATATATTGATTGATTTGTTATTATTCTTTGATTGGTAAATACTTTCAAATTAAAAAAATGTATTGATTGATTTGTTCTTATTCTTTGATTGATAAGTACTTTCAAATTAAAAAAATATAGTGATTGATTTGTTCTTATTCTTTGATTGATAAGTACTTTCAAATTAAAAAATATATTGATTGATTTGTTCTTATTCTTTGATTGATAAGTACTTTCAAATTTACAAAAAATAAAAGACATTCTCAATTTAGTGTTTTCTTTGATTAGTAAGTACTTTTCAATCAACTATTTCTAGGGAAGACATAAAGAAGAAAAACAGTTACTCTTACTTATATTATTTTCTTTCACGTCAAGATACGCGGTGACACGTGGAGGTCGTTTTCCCAGTTGTAATGTTTACTTATTCACAATGTTTGTTTGTAGTTAATCACAAAGGCCTATCTGTGATCTGCCCACCACAGGTATCGAAACCCAGTTTCTAGCGTTGTAAGTCCCCAGACATACCGCTGTGCCACTGGGGGTCATATTTCACGATGTGTTTCGTGTTAAGTCAACATTTGTAGAGGTACTTCGTTTCCTACTTTCAGTTGGAACTCACTCTTTGGTAACTTAGTTTTCCAATAATATGCAGTAC